GTCAAAATAACATTAATGAATTATTTGAAAATAGATGGAAATCGAATGGTTTGAAATACATTAATACAGTCAAACCTTGTTTCAATGAAGTGGCTGGACATATAAGGAAATTTTGTTCAAAATCCGTCAAAACGAAATTATTATTATGTTAATCACGGATTTTTGTGTTTTCATAACGTGTAACAAGATTTTTAAAAATCCGTTGAAACGCAAATTTAATTGTAATCCGTTAAATGTGAATTTAATTATAATCCGTTAAATGCGAATTTTAATTATTATTATAATCCGTTGAAATGAGGGTTCAACTGTATGAATATGTGGTTTGGTTTAAAAAAAATCAAATGATTTGATAATTAATTGTAGTCAGTTGGAAAAAAATAATGAATTATGAATATGTGGTTCAATTGAAAAAAATCGAATGATTTGATAATTAATTGTAGTCAGTTGGAAAAAAATAATGAATTATGAATGTGTGGTTCAATTAAAAAAAATCGAATGATTTGGTAATTAATCCTTGAAAATTGGATGTGGTTAAAAAAATAAATGCATAAAAATTTTTTTTGGATATGTGGTTAATATGTTAATTTATATATGTAGAAATGTGGCAAAAATAAAATGCATTTAACATGAACGAACATAATAGTATTAATTTTTTTCTATATTTATTTACTATAAATATTTCATTCATCAAATGAATAAATATGGATTCGGATATTTTAATATATAATATTGCTGCGCAAATTTGCGGATATTTTCGAATATTCTCACGGTTTCACAAAATACTGCGCAAATTTGCGGGTATTTTTGCGGATAACTACACGATTATATTCTTCTCCATATACGCGTATCCATATTTACAATATATACATTTTATTCACTATTCTAGAGCTTTCTGATTGTTTTAATTAAGAAGTTAATTTGTTAGAGTTGTTGAATTAGTGCTCAATTTTAACTTTGAATCAAAGAAAAATGCGAGTTCAACATATCAAACCAATAATACAACAATAATTTTTTTTAATATTTGATATAATTTGAATGTATTTTAAGATTTTTTTTTAACCATATAAATATCCTATATTTTAAACATTTTAAACAATCATAAACAAATCGACTAAACAACAATGATCTTATGTTAATGGTATGATAGTATGGTGCAGTAATGATGACAAGAATAATTTATCCTACAATTATTCTTTTGGAGACCCAGTTTCCATCTTCATGGGTACAACTAGGCCTATACCAATAGTCAAAAAATCCGATCCAAGCTCACCCTCCCCTTGTACTGATGAAACACATCTCCGTTCATCAAACCTCACTTGGTGATAATTGATTAAATTGATTAACATATAAGTCGCTTCAATTTTATTCTAAAAAAAATCATTAAAATGTAAAATAATAATACATTACATTTTTAGTCCCGCCTGACAGTAGATCACAAACTTCGATATTCCATATATACAACTGAACTGGACATATTTTTATTTTTATCATGGCAAATACATATTATCATACTCTCAATCATTTGCTTGGATGTATGACCACTGGAATTCCCACATAAATACTGATTCGAGCTACAACATCAACAATGTAATTGCGTGAGATACAAAGTAGATCTGAACAAAATGAATAGGCTTAAATAACATCAACTGATGTTACAATAAAAAAGGAATGTCTAAAGCGCATCATGCCATTCCGAGATCGTCACTTCCACTCATACATATTTTTCTTTTAATATCTAAACCACACACAATAAACTTTACCTGTATGTCCTTGTAGACGCTAGATGCATTCACCAGTAATGGTAACAGTGCAATCGCAACCACCATTAACTAAGATGTCCCTACATCTGTTAAAGCACGAACAGAATCATTGTGACCTTTAATATTATGGAGGAAATATGGATTATCATTAAATCGATTACTATCAGCAGTATAATAAAATGACATGATTGATCAGTAGAGTCTTTTGAACCAGTGGTGATAACATTTTATGATGTTATAATTTAAATTCACGTAACAGTGCTTGTATGGCTTTGGAACCAAGACCACTGGTGTAAAGAGACAAAATCCAAATTTAATAACTAATGTATTGGCTTGACATATTACTAATAGCTTAGCCAAGTATCTCATTAGGGTATACGCTCAGCTCTATTTGGAACATAAATACACCTTCTTTAAGATCCCAGACACGAATTTATTATCAACAGATTCAGGTACTAATATAGTATTAACATATTTGCATAAAACTTATGAATATCACCTAGAACTTGTGAGTATAATAATTGCAGCATACCACCATAAAAATTTATTTAATAAACAACAATGTTATTACAATGGCTTTTGAAGAGATATATGTATGATTACGTCGGCAATTTTTTGCATTAAAAAGTACTGATTCAATTTTCTGCAGACTAATTAAACTTTTAATTCATCGGAAAATATTGTCTTCTCTGGGTACAGCATGTTAAAAAAAAATAGGATATAAATTAGTCAAAACCCTATTGACATTTTCTTTATGATCATCCCATGCCATCTTTTTCTTTTGCCTCGCCTTGTTGAAGATATTCCACCAGCTGATATTGATCCTTTGTTTTCAAATACTTTACAACTTTTGCGCCTTCAAAAAAATTAATATTAATGAAAAGAATCAAATTTTTGTTTGGTGATTTCGCTAAAATTCCTCATGTGTAGTAGTCACTTAATTGGGAAGTATTATATTTTGTCCTTGTGGTTTGAATGTTTTTTAAGCAGCTTTAATGCTTTTTACGCTTCTAAAGGATTAACGAATAGTATCTAAGGTCTTCATATTAAATGTTACTTCAAAGCAAGTTCTTTCTTTATCTTTTAAAGAACTCCTATGTGCAAGAAACATTTTGCCCCGAAAAAGGCTTACAAAACAAACATTAGCATGAGTTGGAAAGGATAGTTTAATATGTCAGATTTAATATCACTGATTTTATTTTTTGGGGAATAGTTTCTACAGATATAAATAACAATTTTTGGTATTTATTTTATCTTTTTATCTTTAAATTCTATAATTTACTCGGAGCCATTTCTATTTGGAACAGAGATAAAGGTTACATTTTAAATATATATATATATATTATACGTAGACTTTTCGCTCATTTTGCTTGTCAAGTTATCATGTGGCTTTTCCTTAGGATTTCATATTATTATTACTTGGGAGGTTTTATTTAAGAAAAACATGTCAATAATAATCAAATCAAATTATTTATTATATGATAAAGTAATGTAGTATAATGTAGTATACAAGACAGGTTTAAAATATAGTAATAGGTTGTGTGTTTATATTTTAATTCAATTAATGATACATAGTTTATATAAACAATTGCATGAAATGAAAACAATTTGACTAAAGCCATTATTACCTATTCTTTGGTCACTCTAACGATAATATAGATAATATATGTTACACTTTCATTATTTCTATTATTATTTCCTTCATCATCGTCATCTTCATCTTCATCTTCATCTTCATCTTCATCTTCATCTTCATCTTCATCTTCATTACTCCGCGTCTTTTTATTCTTTCACTTCCGAATTGTTTCTGTAGTTTGTTTTCTAGGATTAGTCTTTCGTTGGTCAAAGAGGTTTTTTACTCTGCAGGTAATTTACAAATTTCAGTTGCCATCCTTCAAGTATTTGACCGCTAGTTTTTTGGTTGAAATGAAGCTAAAGGCCAAAGACCAATAATCCGCAAAAAGCTCATTTTAAAAGTAGACATTTTTGTTAACATTGAAGATAATGAAAAATATAACCTTGATTTCTAATATTTTAAATATTATTGATTAAAATCTTTGTAATTTGGTTTTTATCTGAGGTGAAAATGAATGGATTAGTAATGTTTCCTCAAACACATAAAGGTTTATGAAACAGTTAATCAAATTCAAATCTAAATTATGAATGTCTATTTTCTAATGCATACGGCCATGAACAATCATGCAGAAGGATTTGTTTATTTAAAGTCCTGAACGAATGATAGTGATGAAATTTTGTTTCAAAGGAAGCACTTTTCTTTATGAAAGGCATTGGTAGTACAATTGAAATTTGACTAATTTGTGGTATAGCATACATTATTTTGTTGCATATGGAGTATTTTTTACAGAAAGGGACTAAATGCAGGTTCAACATTATTATGTGCAACACTCGCTTTGCTTAATAAATTAACATAATTAACATTAAATGATGATCGTCGTCTCTTTCTATAAAAAACATCCCATTATATATTAATGTATTATTTTCCTTTATTAATTATCATTTATTATTTTATTTTTAATTATCTTTAATTGTCTATTTTTGTTATCAGTTATCTCCTTTCAACAAATCTACGTGACACATAAGAAAATTTCATTTAAAATTTTTTATACCCAAATTTCCGATCAAGTGACAAAATCATTGTAATAATAACGCGAACTTGATTATAATTCATTCAAAATGGGAGGTTGATTGTATTTTATATTTTATATTATTATGGTTATTATTATTATTATTTATTATTATTATTATTATTATTATATTTATGGCAATCTCCCAACCCGCAAATTGATTAGTATGGTAATATTTCTAACGAAATAAATATTAAGTAAAAACATGGGACAAATAGGGACAATATATTGATACAAAATATTGTCGGGCTATCAGGTGATTCCACCCAAATTAAGGCGTAGTAATAGTAGCAGCTTTCGAAATCGAATTTCGGAAATCAAAAACTATTTATAAAATAATAATAATAAATACATGATATTGATATTAGTCGTACCAAATGTTGTATCGAAGCTTATAAAAAACTACAAACAATAATTTGTTCTTAACGTATATATAGTTCTTTGAAAAAGTGTGCACTGTTTTTAAAAGACAAACTTCTAGAAAACCTATGTTTATTTCGATTTAGTTCTATTTCGCAAATTTTAAGATTGATTCGAAATGTTGATTGAAATCGAAATCGAAATAAACCTATTATTATTACATTTTATTATTTCTTATTCTGGTTTTTCCATTTTACAATACAATTTTTATTCCCACCAAACATTGACACAGCATGTTTTTAATAAAACTTTTGTTCATTATATAACCTGCTAAACTTTTTGTAATAATTAAAAAGAAAAGCCATTTCAGAACGCCTGCATGTCTGAATTTTGGGGTTTTCACCTTGAAGAAAATAAATAAAAGATTTTACAATAATAGTGACACCCCACTTAACACAATGTTATATTTAAACATACGACATATGAAGGCCAACAAAAGACACAAGAATTTATATACAAAAAAAAAACCAGAGCATGTGCTATATTGCAATCAAAAATGACTTTTTTTGAATAGAATTAAGATTTATCCGAAACTTTTTTTTTTTTGAATGCGTCTATTGATTAACAATAATGTTTATTTTGTGCATTATTATATATAAATTAACAATGAATGAATGAATGATTTTGAATGATAATAATGATAATAATGTAAATTATTATTAATGGTAATAGAAAAGAAAGGGGTAATTTTATTTATATTCAAGGAGTTTGTGTCTTTTTTAATTTAATCAACATTTTAATTTAATAATAAGGTTAAAGTTCAAATTGGCACATAAAATCTTGGCACACCATTAATATTAATAATAAACTTATTAGGTGTTTTGCAGGAATATTCTTGAGGGGTTTTCCTGCAGATAACCTCTAATTGTATTAATGCATATTCAAAATAAAAATCAGGGCAAATGACACACATTAGGTCCATCATCCTCTCGCTGAGAAAAAAAAGTTTATCCCTTCTCTACGCCAGCACAAGAAGGCAGATCCGCTAATATTAGGGACAAGTCAGCAAAGCACAAGTCAAATAACAATGACTTCTGGGATGACATTACAAAAATTGGCAATGAAATGAATGATGATGGTGTAAATGGTATGTGGACTTCTCATGATCTTTCATAATCTAAGTAGGATTTCAATATGGCCTGTATTTAATGGATCTAAAGTTCGATGCAATATATCGATTAGGTCGTTTTACCTCCCCTGTGAATGTAATTCTTCTGCAGTAAAGGTTGGAACAAGATAAATTATTACATGTGTTGTAAAGTTTTGATTCAACATATTTATTCAATAGAAATTCTGCTAAAATTTGCGTATATTTAAACAATAAGTTTCAAATTGATAAGAGTTAATTTTTTTATTTTTTACTTTTATCAATTATAATTATTTTATTATTTTATAATCATTACAGAAATTAACAAATTTTCCTTAAACAGCAGTTGGCTTTAATTAAAAATTTACCGTATTAATATTAATATACATAATTCATTAAATCCTAAGATCGTTTTTAAAATTATTTTTAATTTGATACAAATCATTGGCATATCATCAACTTTTCAACTGCATATTGATTTAATATAGAAATTATTTAACCAATATCGATGATGTTTGCATCTGCCGACTTGATGCAACTTATTTGCAGCCAGTTTTTGTAATTGCGGTAGGTATCTTTAATTCACATGTATTTATGGAGAAAATCAAAATTAATAGAATCAACTTGTCATAGTCGGATTCATATATCGTTTGCAAACCTCAAAAAAACATTATCTACTTTATTTCCAACATTCCTTATAAAGAAGAAACCTAATTAACAGTCAGCATAATAATTGATGACAACACGGAATAATTCAGGCTGTCGACTAAAAAATTTTTGAACACCTTTCTTTGACTCGATTTCGCTAGCTTCGTTATAATCCACACTTATATATATATATATTATATATATTGATATAGTAATAGTCAATTAGTATATAATCAAAATTTGTATTTTGTTTCACGTAACATTGATAATAAATAAATTTAATTTAGAACAACAATTGGCAACAATTGACACAATACCATCTGTGACTGATCATTGTAACACTTGTGCATTGAGTATTTCAAAATAATGACGAAAAAGAATAATATATGATAACAGTAACACATATTGTTATATATAATTAGTGTTGATGTTGAAATGGTTATAAACAATTAAACAGCGTGTCTAAATTATTAATGGACTGGCATCAAAAGGTTATTTTAGAACTAACCAAATATAAAAAAGAAATCATATTTTTATAGTAATAGTAAACATCAGCATGTAATCCATATAAAGTACAGCATAGACCATCAAGTAATACAAGAAGGCGGCAAAATTTTTGGTGGGAAAATAAATATCATGTGATTTTATTAATACAATGCAAATCAAAAGTAAAAATAACAGGCTTTAAAATAAAGTTTATAACTCGAGTATCTTTAAAAAATTTATTGGTTAGATTTTTTTTTAGACTAAAAGGATTTTAAATAACTGTAACACGAAATTTATATTTATTTATCAAATAAAAATCAATCGATTCCTTTTTGATAAAAACTTAAACCGATAGAATTAAAAAGCTAAAGATTTAAGCTTCATTTCCATCGGTTTACTTTTTTCATTTTATTAAAAAAGCTTTGAGTTATAAGGCCTCAAAGTTAGGCCATTTTATATATGTAAATTGTAAATTTCCCTTGTGATTTCCTAAAAGGTCGATGATCGGCTTAAAAATATTTCGTGATACAGAAAATATTTCCAATAAAAGAAATTGGATTACTTAAATTAGAAAAATTTTTTAAAAATTTTAAATTTCGGACTGTGACATTTATAGATAACTTGAACGATAATGTATGTGTAGATTATATGATATTACAAGTTTCAACTTGTTATAAATATGCGCCCTTTAATATTTAATATTACTATAATAACAACTCTAGAAATTAAATTTGGCAGCATTCCTTGACTTCAATATAATTGTTTATCATCCTGGTGAGCAGATGCCATTTTTGTTAAGTTAATAATAGTTTGATAACTTTTCTTTTCCACTCTACTGGTTTAAGACCACGAGATCATATCATCCTTAAATGGCTAAAAAAACCTATAGAATTTTAATTTTTACATTAATCTTTCCATTTAAGGCAATAAAAAATGGGTAAATTTTACTTATAGTTTTGCATGTGACCCTCTCATATTAGAATAACATTTCGTTAATACTATTTTATTTACTTGGCACTAATTATTATTAGAGATATTTGAAATTTGCAATTGGTTTTGACAACAATGTTGATATTACAACTAGCAAATTGGGAATCAGTTTTAAGAACTGTTGTATGGATTTTAGTATAGGTAACAAATATCATATTTGATTACTTGATTATATCTTTAATAAGATCTTAGATAATGATAATGGTGATTTTATTAAAGAATTAAATAACACTTGAAACTTAATTTAAATAAAACTTGCAGGTCTGTGATGATGATGTTACATATAATATTGTTTAGAAAATGGACAGTTTATTTAAAATGGATCATTTTCAATATACTTTACTAAAATATATGTCATGTTCCTCAGTGATTAGTTTGCATCTTTATATTCTCCATTCCAGGCGAAGATCACTATGCACATAACCCCTGGGTGTAAGATTTCTGCAGCATCCTTTGTTATTTGTTGTAATTCTTTCAGTATCCACATTTTCTTTTGATACCAATGTACTCATTATCTGCATTTTCTAGTTTCCAGTAAGATCATTCTCTTCACAGAATATCCCCATGTGAACTTTACTATCATCTATTTATCTTTAAACATCCTAAATTAGCCTTCTGTAAATAAATTTGATACCTTTGTCTAAATGGAAGGATAAGAAAGCTGGCTGACTGTCATTGAAGATAAAATAGTAAATAATGGTAAAATAAACAGATCATCTGAAACAGATAATTATTTTTGTCCTTTAATTAACACACAATAGAAACAGAAGTGAAAGAATGCACAGAGGAAACAAATTAGCCTAAACTCCTTAAATATAAGTCTTATCATAAAAATTGAGTTTACCTAATTCTTGATTATAAAAAATTAATTCAGGATCACATATTAGTTTAAGAAATATAATATGATTAATTTTACCCATTTATTACAAATTACTTTGTTATTTTGGCAATTTCTTCAGCATTTCTCCAATTTCTGGCTCAAGTCTAACATTTCTCATTCATAGTTTACAATTTCTTCAAATTCCTCCTCCTTCACCCTGTCCTTTTTTTTTCTCGTCGTATTTCTTTTCATTCAACATCTCTCTCGACTCATTTAATCTCTCTCATTTTCTAACATACCTGCACCATTCTTTTTAAAAAAACGCCCTAATTATACTCTGATTTTTGTTCAATGGAAAAATTTTTTATTAATTGTTCAGGATCAATTGTCTATCGACCAATCGTAACTGGTCACTAAAAATTGAGCCTTATTATTATTATAATTTTCTGCGGCACTAATATTGTAATTAACCCGTTCGCATATTAAACATAATAGTATTAGTATTAATTTACATATTAGTAGTATAGCCTATATAATCTACACAATATGCGATATTAAGATTTTTTATTTTCTCCAAAAAGTATAAATTAATTAATTAAATAATAATGAATCAATTTTTCTCAATGTTAACAAAAATTCAATTAATCTAACAAGGAGAAACTATTATTATTAACCGTAATTTCCCGAATGAAATTTTAGAAAAATGATGATAATAATAAAAATGATAATAATAATTAATAATAATAATGAATTCGAATAAAGTGTAAAAAACTGCACATCACCAAATTTGCATTTATTTATTTACTGATTTATTTATTTATTTAATTTTTAATATATTTATTTGCCACTTTCTTCTTCATAATCATCTTTTTTAATGTTTGTTTATTGAACACGACAGATCAAAAGATACATATTAACCTCTTTATTTTATTTTTATTTATTTAAAATTATTAATCATGTGAATTAGATTGCAAATTCGTTGTTACACTATTAAAATATACATATCAAATAACCAAAAACAGTTTTTTTTCCTCTCCCTTCCTCCTCTCTCTTCTCTCTTCCAATTAAAACTCTCGTACACATATATATATTTCTGATCATATTAATATATTAATTAATAATAACCTATCATTATTACTATAAGTAAGCAAGAAGTAAAGTAATACTAATAAATTATTTTCAGAAAAAATAACTACAACACACACACACACACACCAATACTTAATCTGATTTTTTTTTTTCGTAATAAATAAATTTTTTTGGTGTTTTTTTTTTATTTTACTCTTCTTTTTTCTTTGACCATTATTTTTTTTAACGAAAAAATTTTTTTTTTTTATTATAAATTTTTTTTTTTAAAGAAATTTATAATAAATAAAATTAAATAAGAAAAAACCGCAGTAAGTGTTATGAAGCTTTTTAGTAAAAAAGTAATATTGATATATATAGTATTATTATTATTAGAATAGAATAGTATATATTATATTATATATAGTAGTTGCAGCAGGCTGCTTTCTTTTTATTTTTAAAAAAAAAAATAAACAAAAAATTTTCTTTTAAAAAAAAACTAATTATTTAACAATTTAACAAATTATTACATTTACATCGCGCACACACACTCACCTTCACACAATTAACGAATTTATTAGAATTTATAAATATTACAAAATATTTCAACATCTACAACAATTTGCAATATATTTATATATATATATTAAATTTATTTACGACATTAACGGACTAACAACAACACTTAAGCCACAGGTAAATATATTTCCTCCTTTTACATGGTTCTACTAGAGTTCTTTCAGGCATTGTGAAGAGAAATTCGAGTGTTATTACTTATAATAGTTACAACTATATTAATAATTATATTAATAATTCCATAATAATAATAATCTTTATATTATTATACATTATTTTCTTAAAGAATGTCAAAGAGACAACAAGTAGCTCCTGCATTCGAAATAAGATTCACCGATGATGATATCGTAAGTTCCTATTTAATCTGAGATATAAGAGCATCATAATATATATATATATATATATATATTACTTATATTACATATCTACATACATACATATATATATATTACTTTTTATACTAATTCATTTTCTTTTATAATAAATAGACAACAGAAGTTATTGAAATACCAACGGATCGTCACGTTCCAGATCCGTTCAAAAAACGTGATAAAATTCCAAGAAATTCACCCAACTCTTCTCACATTACGTCTTTAAATTCGCCGCCGTCTTCGTCATCATCATCAATCACAACATCATCATCATCCGAGCATTTAAGTAATGTTATTAGCAGTAACGGTTTAATCAGTAATAGTAGGCAACAACGACCTGGTGCACAGAATGGTGACACGTCGTCAATTCATAAGGGTAAATGTTTAATACTTGTATTTTTTTGTGTGTGATTCTAACTTGAGTTTGAGCTTTAACGATGATCGACGTTTATTTGTTTATATTTGTTTATATTTATTTGTTATTTACAATTGTTTATAATTGTTTACATTTGTATTAATTTGTATTAATTTATATTAATTTATATTTATTTTCCAGATTTAAATAATAATGAGCAACCAATAAAAAAATCAGATCCACAAACAAAACGAAACTCAATGAGTAGGAAAAAGAAATCAAATGCTAGAATTAGAAACAACGACGACGATCAAATTAAAGACTATTTAAATAGCACTAGTATACAATCAAAGGATGGTATTGCTACCCCACCAGTGACTCCTCCAAGAACTCCTCCAATAATACCAACAAAAGACGACACCACCCACCCAAATATCACAGACGCCATCAACATCGTTAATAATTCTAATCCCATAAATAACACATCAAATATAACAGCTCTTTCATTGTTAGACTTTGCTAAAAAATCAAATAATTTCAACCAATCATCAACGTCTCTTGACGACATCAAAACAAAAAAAGATAATGAACAAAAACCTGTTGCTCGTCGACAAGTACGAAGAGCTACAATATCACACGATGACGTGATAGTGCCAACTGTTGCAAAGAAATTAAAGATGAATGGTCAATTACCTTTTGCTAATCATGACGCGTTGCTCGGTGTCACCGATGAACCTGACTCTTTTCTTACATCATCACACACTGTTAATGATATATCTTCACCTTCATTGTCACCACCAATAACGAATAAAAGCAATATCATAATGGCAGGTTATATGGATATTACTGATCAAGTGGAACCTTTATTCGATAAAAACAAGAATATTCACAATGGCACTCATAATTATAATCATAATAATGTAAAACAAAACTCCACCCCGGCTTATACTCGACGTCCCAACTCTCAAATTTATCAAATTCGTAAAAATTCATCAACGTCAACATCATCAACATCATCAATCAATTCTCGAATACCCTTACCTGTCGGATTAAGCTATCAACGTAAACGTGCCGGATCTGCTGCTTCTTCAAATAATAACTATAATAATTATTATAACAATATATCGCTTGCCACCAAGCCAGTATCATCAGCAACGAAAGCAACAGGTGGTGATGAAAATTCACAAAAGGATTCAAGAAAGAAACGTAGAGAAGAATTTGTTTTGATGACAAATGATGATGATGAAGAAGAAATAATAGGTGAAGGAGGTGTTAATACTGGAAATGAGGTGAGAAATTAAAATCTGAGATTGATTGATTTATTATAGTTAATTTATAATTAATCAATATAAATTTAATTTTTTTAGACCGCTACAAATTCACAACAATTATCTGTTGCTAATGATGAAAAAGCTGCTGCTGAAAATATGCAAAATGTTAATAACGTAAGTGACACTAATATTTTACATTATTTTACATATATTTATTTATTTACACATTAAAATATTGTATTTTCTATTTTATTAGATGACAAACAATGAAGAAAAATACAATCAACAATTACAGCAACAGCAAGCGTTAATGGTAAACGATTTCACTTCAAACCAATCAGCATCTACAACTATATCAATTGGTTCGTCATCATCAACCGCTTCAACTTCCAAGGATGAAAAGGACAACAGTAAAAAGAACAACAAAAAGATCAAGGCCAAAAAGAACAAGAAAAATAATAATAAATCAGACAATATTGGAGATGACGATGATGATGATGATAAATACGTTAAAAAATCAAAATGTTGCTGCGTAATTTCTTAAATATAAAATTTTAAATCTTGAAGATTAGTTGGAAGATCAATGCGAATTATTTTCTAGCCTTTTAAGGAATACACGATTTGATTTCACCAACAGCAGTTTTATTTCTGTGACTCGGGGGGTTTAGAAGATTAGATATTTTTTATATATTTGGGGAAAGGAACATTTTATTTTAGGTTAAAAATTTTTTTACGCACGCATTCACAAATAAATAAATATTTTTTTTTCCAAATTATATATATATATTCCTCTTACAATTAATATTAATGCCAATTTACATTAAATCACAAACACAAACATTGATTACAAATTGCAAAACTTTTTTATACACATTTATACACACAAATTCATATAAAAATTTTTTTAAATATAAATTTTTTCTTTATTGTAAATTTTTTTGTTTCCTTTTTTTTTTATTATTTTATTTTTACATTTATTATTTTTTTATTCTTAAATATTATTTCTTCCTTATTATCTTTTCATTATCCTCCTTTCAATTCTTTTCCTTCTTTTTCGTTTTCAACTTTCAACTTTTAATTTTTAACTTCTTTACCACCACCACCTTCCTTTTTCCCTTATTTATCGCAGTGGTTTAGATTATCTATACATTTTTCTTATTTGGAATAATAATATTATTATTGACTTGCAAAAAAAAAAAATAATAATAATATAAATAATAAAAAAAATCAAAGCATTATCGTCAAAAATAGTGTTAGTTTGTTTTTTTTTAAAAAAAAATAGTTATTATACAATTATTTATATAATAAACATTACATTTTTTTTCATGTTTTTTTTTGTATAAAAATCTGTAACTTGAGAGAAGAATGGTTAAGAATTAGAATCAGAAGATGTGCGGGGAAATAATTTAATCAATCCAAATCCATATCAATACAATAATCCCTCTTATTCACCGTTTTTAATGCATATATAATCGATTACTTTCAAAGCGGGGGAAACAGAGGGAAAGATTAAAACAAAAAAATAAAATAAATTTTTTTTGAAAATTTTCTATATCAAAAAGAAAATTTTATTTTTTTGATACATATAAATAACATGGTGATTACCCTATTTTTTTTTTATCTAATATTAATCGCCTTAAAAATTCCATTCCTCCTCTTCAAGATATAATCCCTCCCAATCACAGTTTTATAGCTAAACATGCGGAGAAGTCAATAATAGTAGGATTAATAATCACGAAGCTTAAAGTTTCTGGTAGAAGTACACATATCCATCATGAGAGACACAGGCTTAATTTGAGGGTAAAGAGGATAAGCAGAATTCTCACTCAAACTTGATGGATTGGCTTATTACTATGAAGAGCTTGACGATTAAGGGTAGATATGAAAGGCAATCACAGGCCAAAAGTGTGCTCGTCGTGTTGTGTAGATGCTCTTGTAACCAGGAAACACATGGCTGTTCCTTAATCTACATTTGACTTTTGAAGAGTTAGCTGATGCCGGCAGTTGTCAAATTTTATATTCAAGATTAATGTTAAAGCTACCATTCTGATGTTCTATCAGAAGCCTCATTACCGATACACGACGCGTTTGATCACGTGAACGTATTGGTATGGTGCAAAAGATAATTGTTTAATAAATTTTTAGTATTAGTATTAATAAAAAGGATCAATTATATATTTTTTAGCAATATGAAAAAACTGTTTTTGTTCCATGCAAACAGAACAAGAAAATGATTCATCCATCCATTATATAGAAACAAAATTTTTATTTGTCTACTCATTGCTCTTACCATATTTGACAAGGCCCACTATTTCTAAACAATAGTCTTTTAGTATATATTAATATTTTATTCAAAAGAAATTTTGACAGGATTTTTAGTTCCTGCCGCGACCATTTTCACCTTGCAATATAATTCCTGAATATTATTAATCTTCTAGTATACTTAGTTCACTTTGATTATCGTTTGCACCTTGAGCTGAACTTTTTGAGTTAACGTGGTGGCAGCTAGAGTTGATATGATATAAGGGTCAGAAAAACAATGTATTTCGACTTGTTGATCCAGCTTGAACTGATGAAGTTGGTTGATAATGCTTTTGTATGATTATTATTATTATCATCATTTTGGATTTGTCTTTAAACGCGTTAAATCATTAGATTTAATGGCGATGATAATTGACTATATGCGCCATATCTCGGATTGACCTTACTTACAGTGACTTCCATAATTATTGCACCACTTGATTTAAAATTATTAAACGGGAATATCTCATTAACTACAGATAATCAATACATGTATTTAGGCTTATTTAAAATACATTAGTTTTAACTATATTATAATCAAACTTTATTGTAGTTCAATTTGCATTTTTTAAAAAAACCTCAAATGAATAAAAATTTCATGGTGCAATACTTTTGGCACATAACAAAAATAAAATTCTTGCATAAATTTCTTGACATATTTCTAACTAAATATTATCCAAAACTTGACTACATAACAGTTACCACTTTGTGTATCCTCCACTAGCTTTGAGAACATCTGCTATTCTTTGTGGCATAGTATCAATTAATTTTAAACAGAAATCAACATCAATCTGATTCCATATCATTTGTATTTTATTCCACAAATCTTATGACTACTAATATTACCAGGAAGTTGTCACAAACGATGGTCAATTTCATTCCATAAATGTTCAATGGGGTTTAAATCAGGTGACTGTGCTGGCCAGTCTAAAATATTAATATTATTATTAGTAAACCATTCATAAGTTTTATTTGCCATATGTTTTGGGTCATTATCCTGTTGGAAAATGACATTATTTTTACTTAAATTATATGTGCTGAGAGTTCCCAGAAACTCATCTCCCAATATCTGTCGATATAGTTCTCCATTCATTCTTCCATCAATTTTACAATAATTTCCAACACCAAAACTGCCAAAACAACCCCATATCATAACACTACCT